TATATATATATATATATGTAATGTATATGTATATGATATGTATATGTTAATGTATATGTATATGTTAATGTATATGCATATGTTAATGTATATGCATATGTTAATGTATATGTATATGATATGTATATGTTAATGTATGTGTATATATATATATATATTCGACAAGGAATTTTTATAATCATATATATATATGTATATATGTATATATTTATGTATATGTATATTATATATATACATTTATGTATATTTATGTATATGTATACATATATACATATATATTCATACATACACATATACATATAATTAAAAAAAAAACTACAAGTGACCAGTGTATATATAGGTACACTGGTCACTTATAGTTTTTTTTTTTTTTTTTAATTATTGTATATTATCATATATTTTTATTACTACTTGGCGAGATCTGTCATAGTTATTCGGAAAATTATTTGCAACAGATTTCTCACCTATCTTGAGGGTTGACTGCGAGGCTGTGCATTTCTTCACGATTCCTGATGACGCATAGAGCATAGTTTTGATAATGAATAAGAAGAATAATAAAAGATATGAAAATATTGAAATTCAACTATTTTTAGAATCTAGTCAGTATATCGTTTTCCTCAGTTTTTTTAAAAGCAAAATTTAATTGACTCGATAAATTTTTAGAAGATTCTATCTTTTCCAAACCTCAGAAAGTTTGCAAAAAAAAAATATATATATATGCCTGTTTGGAAGTACCTATAGTTGCGAACAAGCTTTTTTCTCAATTAAAAATTAACTAAGAACAAGCATCGATTGAGAATGACCGATGAAAACTTGATGATTTCTCGCTAAAGCGAAGTTAACATAATTAATTTAGTCAAGAGCAAACAGGCTCATAAATCCCATTGAAAAGTAAGTTATTTTGTTTTTTCCCGTCCTTCTTACATATTTACTATTTGTAAACATGTTTTTGTTGTTAAAATAATTTAGTGGCGCATGGAACATCGCTTGAGAAAAAATTTTAGCGGTAGCATGCAGGCTACAAAAGTGGTGTTTTGGCCACCCTTGTTTAAAAGATCGCCAGACGTTCGATCCACGCGTGTGTGTTGGATAATTGTTCGCTTAAATAATCGCACGCATGCGAGAGTCGACGCCACGTAAGTACTTGGAGCCGACCGCGATGTGGAGAACGACGTATACCTGTGGAATATCTAGGGCGCAGCGCGAAGTGGTTCTCCTTGGGCAACCGATGCCGCATTCCGACCTATGCATCTGCTGCCAGTTCCTTTTCCCCCTGTTTCTCTCTATCTTTTCACTGCTTTTTCCTTTTTCTTTTCACTTTCGTTCTGTCCAAGTTGACCGAACCTCGACAGATGCTCCAGGCATGCATGTACAAACGTTGCTCATCGTTGAATTTTAACCCTTTGCCCTAAACAAATTTCTTTTCTTTTTCGTATCATCTGCCAGCAATTTATTTATGAGGCATCACTTCAAACAAAATGGACATAGCAGTGTAAATAATCATTCAAATGATATTTAACGTTAAAACTCTGTTGATCATAGCAATCATCAGCATGCATTGCAGGTTTGCTAGAACAAGAACAATATACAAGTTCCAATCTTTAAGAAAATAATATCCTCTACCATTTCTTGAAGTTTTAAACTTTCGTAAGAAGCAAGAAGAAGAAGTCTAGTTTATGTGAATTATTGAATGTCAATTAACTCAGGATTGTTTTCAGAAATTCTTTTGTGTTCTACTTACATCATTATTACAGCTTTCACTCTAAGGGTCTATTCAGATATTATACTATAATATTGCATCATGCAACAACCAAACGTATACGTTCATTATAATTATCATTATCATAACTATAATGATATATTTATGATATATATTAATATGATGTTTGTTATTATGATGATATAATAATTATAATGATATATTTATGATATATTAATATATGATATATTATATATGATATATTAATATATATTTATGATATATATTATAGCAAATTAGGAGAAAAAGGAAATCCGAGTTGTTAGCTAGATTTAAGTATGACGTTTCCTCTCTGAAGCATTGGTTTGCTTTTTGACATGAACTGTAAGTAACAAACGTTAAGCAAGCTTTTACACGTCAGCTTTCGTTCAATGAAGCCATTAATTAATAATCGAGTTATTTTTCATCGCTTTACCCAAGTCGAATTTCACTCTGCTGCAATTTTCTTTTGCTTTCTCTTTTTGTTCTTGAGCGTCTTCGTTCAATTTCGATGGTCATATTTTTCGACAAGATGAAAAAAGTCTTTTCTTCTTTTATAATTTGGCTCCTCTAGGAATGAACATTGTCGTTTCTCTGGTTCCTCATCTCTCTCTTTCTTCGTATTTTACTTTCTCCGTGATCTTGATTCTTCGTGATCTTATTTCGGTCCGGTTGAAAACCGCACACCGAGTTACAAACTTGCCGCATCGTTTATATATCTATACGTACGTGTATACAGTGAAGAGCATAACTGCACCAATGACAATGAAAAATTCTTGACAATTTAAACCGACATAACCTCTTAAAAAAAGATCGTATCCATTTGGTCTCATTTTAAAGCATGAAATTTTCGAGAAAAATGTACTCCCAGTTTCCCACGCGCTGCGTGATATAAAATCATCTTCAAAAAGAACAAATTCAGGATTGTCAAAATGGAAGCTTCGCTCTTCAAAGTGAGACCAAGTGGATCGTCGCATAACCTTTTTTCACAAAGTTATATCAGTTGAAATTATTCACAATTTTTCATTGCTATTGGTGCAATTACTTAATAATAACCTAAACTAATAACCTAACCTAACTTAAACCTAAATCTAACCTAACCTAACCTCACTGTAAGTGAAGCATCGAGCCTAACCTAACCTAACCTCACTGTAAGTGAAGCATCGAGCCTAATCTAACCTAACCTTACTGTAAGTGAAGCATCGAACCTTCCACACACGCACTGTGTTGCAGCTCAGTCCATTATGGCAGATAACTTACACTTACACAAACGATTGCAGTCTCACGACTGAATTAGGCGAACTCTGTCGATGATGTTCCTGATCGAAGTTCGTCGCTTCTCACCCAGAAAAATATCTCAGCTACCACGCTTGAACGAAGACAATCTGCGTGTCCTTGAAATTCGACGATGCTCTCCAGTTTCATTCGATTGGAAAGAGAGCGAGACGGCTCTCACCTTTCATCGCGGTTTCGTTCTTTGCAATTTTGCATCGAAGAATTACAAAGAGGGGAAATCGTACCTTTTAGATTCTCCGATCTTTTTTTTACGTTGTTCTACTCTAGTCCTGTCCTTCGAATTTATTACAATGTTCTTTCTGAAAGATTCATTACTCTAGTACTTTTTTTAGAAAGCAAATGAATGCCAATTGTGAGGGACGCCTGTTGAGAAAGGATGAAAAAAAATCTAAAAGTCGTTTGTTGATAGGCGGCAGCAACTTCAGAAACGAAATATGTATCTGCGGTGATATTTAATTGTAAGTGTAACATAATTTACCTAATTTACCTCTTGTATTGTTATGATATCCAAGGTAGTATCCTTGAATAATAATTCACGTCACGAGCTAATAATTCTGATTTAAGTGCAAAAAGAGAGGCAACAATTCAAATGAAACGAGCGGAGGCATTGAGGATTGCAGTTTCAAATCGTTTCAAAGAAACAATAGTTTCAAAGAAACAATATGAGTAACTTATATTTTTCTATTATCGTTGATTAATTTCGTCTAGTTCATTACGACTCGTCAAGAGATGAATGTTCAAGAATTTGTTGGTCATTTCATTTTCCAAAAAAAAAAAAAAAATGATACGCCACACATATTTCTTACAGCAATAATCTGAAAAAAAGGGAGGGAATCAGATATCGCGATTAAATAACGAGCGAATAGGAACATAAATGTAATCAAATTATCGGACGTTATGCCAGGCAAGTATTCTTTCATCATGTCAGACTTAAAGCATTACGTTCACGTACACGTGTGTTACATTACACGTGACATAACAAGCACATTGAAAAAATATTACGTTCGTAATATCGTCAATTAACGCGATTCCCGTGTCGTAATAACGATTTATTACTGCCAAAAAATTTTCTTTTTTATTTAGAAAAACTGGGAGAAAAAGTTGGAGAAGAATATGAAACGATACTCGACTCGCTGTTCTACAAGAAATGGAGGGGGGAGGGAAAAAGGAAAAAAATGAATGGAAAGCGTAATACTCTTTTAATTACTCTTTCGAAACACGCGAATCAATCTGGAACGAAGAAATCTACAGAAGGAAAGGATATGAAATTACCTCGGTTCGGACCGAAGCGGGGCATGCTGAAGAAAAAATCTCGAACAATCTCTGTTCCGTTCTAAATGTACCTAAACATCGACTTCGCCGTGAGATAACTGATCGTTGGGAGTGCAACGGAGTGCAACCACTGGCAGCGCTGGTTGCCTCCATCGGCCTCGCTTCACAAGGATTCCCTCTTTCTATTTGGCTGCTAATCGGCCACGAGATCTAACGGTTTCTCATTATAATGCACCTGAATGCATGTTCAACTGTGTTCGATTATGTGCATCGGACGCGACAGACGAACGCGCGTCATCGAGACGTCGAATATAAATTTGCAAGTTCGTTAACCTTTTTCAATGCATTCAGAGGTAAAATCATTCTCTCCTCGGGTTTCCGCCGTCTGAAGCAAAGTATCGCCACTGACAGCGATAGGCAAACCTTGTATTGTAAGTAGGTATCTCGCGAAAATAAAAAGTTTGCTAGCTTACTACTTTACCATTAGGGTTACTACTTTACCATAAGTAATGTCTTTTTTTTCCAAGTTTAATAAACATTGCCATCTAGTGACAATGATTTAACTTATTATAACATACCATTGTAGGCTAAGTATATTGACGTTTAGAGTGCTTATAGACTTTTATAACTGTATTAACCCTTCACACTTTACGGATGGGACACGTAGATTTACGTTCTTGCACATATTTTAACTGCGTTGCGATTACTTTCTCGTGTAGAATCTTTGTCTTATTAGCATCAATTCTAACAATATCCATTTACTGCACTTTCGTGTTATTTACATTTGAATCGTTTAATTTACATTTACTATAATTTTCTTTTGAGGTTAGTTTTTGTAGTAACTTCACTTAAGTACTAAAACAAAATTTTGTGCAGCATCAAAAAACGACATTACATTATTTATTACTTTCTATAGAAAAAATAAATTCATTCGACACAATAGAACGAGAAAAAGAAGAAGAAAAAGATGATGATCGACGTTACCGTCGAAGTTTCTTTTTTCTTGCCGCAATACTCTCGATGATTCCATCGAGCGAGAAAGTAATCTCGATATTTATCGATCGTTCGATAATTACTCGACTGCAGGCCGAGCTTTATACACAGGACGGAAAAAAGCGTGCGAGGCGACGCGCGATGACGTGACAATCGAAAAACTGGGGGACACTTAAGAGTCGTGACGCGCAAAGGCGAACCCGGAGAAAATCGTTTGAATGCTTCGCGGAATAAAATAGCCGGATTCTCGCGAAAGGGAAAAGACGTGCCAGGCCAGACAGACTGACAGACGTACCAACCGACGGAACGTGAATATCTGGGCTAACGATTTCGAAATCTCGTTACTAGAACTTTCTTCGGAACAGATTGCCCCCTTGCGATAAAACCTTTTCCAACGAAGTGAACATAACAGAGGAAGATTTGAAATTGGCGTTTAGAGCCATTATTTGACAAAACTATCGCTTTTGCTGCAGATGTATCTTCGCGATATTTCGACATATTGAGTAATTGAAATTTTATCGTACTGGAATGTTTTTTTTTCTCAATCAAGACAGTAATATCTATTGCAAAGTTTCTGATTACGTAAACAAAATTATACGCAAGAGACAGGTATAGTATCATTTAGTAAATAACATCAATTTTATTTTTCAGCACGTTCCAATAAAGCTGAATTATTAATATTTCAAATCAGCAAAAATCCGCGTATAGTATCTAATAAATAACATCAACTTCATTTTTCAATAAGTACCAATGAAGATAAATTATTAGTGTTTCAAATCAATAAAAATCCACGTATAGTGTCTAATAAATAACAACAATAACTTCATTTTTCAGTAATTATCAATAAAGATGAATTCTTAGTGTTTCAGATCAGCGAAAAATCTATGTATAATAAATAACAACTTCATTTTTCATTAAGTATTAATAAAGATGAATTACTTGAAACTGATGAAAATCCACATATAGTATCATCTAATAAATAACATTAACTTTATTGAAAAATAAAGTTGTTGTTATTCATTTCAGTAAATGTCAATGAAGAAAAATTACTGCCTCAAATCAGTGAAAATCCACGTATAGTATCTAATAAATAACATCAATTTCATTTTTACCATGGTAAGTTTCAATGAAGGTAAATTACTAGTGTTTCAAATCAATAAAAATCTACATATAGCATCTAATAAATAACAACTTTATTTTTTAGTAAGTACCAATAAAGAAGATTATATTGCCTCAAATCAGTGAAAATCTATGTATAGTATCTAATAAATAATATCAAGTTCATTTTTTAGTAAGTACCAATGAAGATAAATTACTAGTGTTTCAAATTAGTAAAAATCCACGTATAGTATTCTAATAAATAACAACAATTTCATTTTTCAGTAAGTATCAATGCAGATGAATTATTAGTGTTTCAAATAAACGAAAATCCATGTATAGTGTCATCTAATGAATAACAATAACTTTATTTTTCAATAAGTGAATTAATAATGTCTCCAACCGGTGAAAATCCACATACAGTGTCATCTATAAAAATAATAAATAACTTCAACTTTACTTTTCATTAGGTACCAACAAAGATGAATTACTAGTACCTCCAATGTCCAAATCAAATCGGCGAGAATGCAGGTACTTATAAACGTTATAGTATACGGTAAAAAACTTGATGTAAAAATCTTCTCTACGATGGAACAATATGACTTTTAAGTGGCAGCTACACACATCGGGCTATGGAAACGCAAAATAGAAATGCAAACCGCGTTGTCTGGTGGAGGTTCCCTGATCGACATTCCCGGAGTAACATGGACGCTCACGCCGACCGCGACGACAAAAGCGTCGAGGAAGACGCACGCTAGCGAGCAGCTAGCGCCAGCAGCTAGCAACCTCTCGATGCGGCTCATGGTGTCAACAACCTCGTCGTTGCTCGTGCCAAACGTAGCCGCAGCTACGCTGACTTTTACCCTCCGTCCGCCCCCCGCCGCGGTCGTCCATGTGTCGGCTTCTCGATTCTTTTCACCAGCGATGGCAATCGATCGCGACATCGTAGTAATTTCGTTCCACTAAGTGAGCGAGTCGTTGCATGAGAAGTAAGGCGTTGCGCGGAAAAAGTCTGACGTAAATGCATTGTGCAACATTCTCGCGATTAATGATATTCCTGTATTTGCATTGACGTTTCGCGCGTGCATTGTGTGCAGGAGTGTCGCTGAGTCGCGCCAACTCGGGACTTAATTGACAATGAGTCTCTTCCTGGACTGATTAAAATGAACCAAAATGAATTTCGTTGGTCTCTTTGACTCGTTTGTTTCATACACGATGTTGATTTTTGTAGCAATGTAGGAATTAGGACACATTGTACAATAGCTTAGAATTGTAGAAATTATACGGCTTTAAATGTAAACGTATTAGTCACGTTTTGGTTGGTTGTTTTAGGTTCGTGATTAGGCGTTTCTCTTTCGTCTAACGATATGTTATATTATCTCACGTACAACGGACAGTTACGCTTTCTTAGCACTGTCCAATTTTTGAATAACTTGATTATACGAACACAATTTCACGGAAGCTCTGATTAGTCTGAATCTTGAAAGTTATCGACAACCGACGGGACAGAGTAAAACAGTTTCCTATCGAAATAAGAGCAGAAACCAAGGATGCTGAAACGCTTGTCGCGGCCAGTAGTAGTCGACTTTCACTGTTGCGTTCGGCGCAATGATGCGCCGTGTTAGATAAAAGCATGCCGGGTCATCGGCAAAAGCCAACGCTGCGATCAACCGGTTTTCATTCTCGCTAAGCAACGCTTGTCCCCGCGTTCAGAGCAGTGGATGCAGCGCGCCGCTTCTCTCTCGCATTATGCAATTCCACTAAGACGTTACGTATGTACTTAGGTTAGGTTGGAGAAGAAGCTACGATACGGTGACGCTAGCAATCGAATTGCAACGTGTCGTTCCGCGTCGCGTGCCGATCGCTTTTACACGTGCTACGCACGCGTACGGATATCGTCCTAACCTCAAATTCTATTAAATATAATTTTTTTTTCCAGTGCTTTGCGCCTTGCTCTACGCTATTTGTACGGCCATTTTATCCTTCCTGATCACTTTCTCATTGAGCAAAAAGTACATCTGGGATCCTTGAACGTAAGAACGCCCCGATAAAACATATTTAAGCTTGCACCTTGATATTTGCAGGAAGGTCGTGTCAACCCGAATCGCAACAACTCGAAACATGTCATTTCGCTTTGTTTAATTTGAAAGTCAGATTTCTGCGAGCGGCGATTATTATAATTATTATGATCTAAATGGACGTTGGCGAATGAGCATGGAGCGCAGAATTTTACAGACGAAAGATTTATTAAGGATGGAGGGAGGCAGGGATAATGATTCACGTGCGCCGAACTCGCTAAATCCGTGTCTCGTAACTGACTGTGAGATCTGGCACGATAAAAGGATCTTAGCATCTGTACGCAACTGTACGCGGTGTTTCGCAAGTCTCTAAACTAGAATTTGTCTACGTAGGTGATTTATCAAGACTGAATTGTCATGCCATTGATCATAAATCAGACACCGCGACGATACGCGTGTCGTACTATGGCCACATCGATTACGAAAATAATTATGTCGGCCGAGGCGTGTAATTCTTTGAATCGAGTCTGATACGCCTTGGACGGTTCCGGTGACACCAGCTGGATATCATACTGGCATACAAAACACCCGAACGGTAACGGTAACTTGAAAGAAAAAAGAAAGAAATACTTGGCACCTGGCTCTACTCTTTGTTCGCGAAAAGAATTCTACATTTCCAACAATTCTCAGATGAGAGAACAGCGAATTCTATTGAATTGTTACGAAGCAACAAGTTACGAACTAGCAAGTTTCTGATTCAGTCGTATTTTCTTTCTCTCGAATAATTTTCAGATGAAAGGACAAATCATCAACTTGAAATCGTATTTTCAGTAACATCGCGTTTCATCGCTTCTTGCTCGCGATATTTCGTGTTAGAGAACCTAATCTAAACCTAACCTAAACCACGAGAAACTCGTACCGTGAATGCAGCCAGCTCGATCAATCACACGAATTGTAACGCTGCTATTTTCATCCCTGGTTCTCATCGCTCGAGCTCCATCTGGCATTCATATCTCCAGCTATCCTTGGCTAGAGACTCTCGCATACTTGCCAACGAATAAGCGCAACGCGTTTCCAAGTATATCGAAGCAAGCCTTCGGCCTCTCGAATTTTTTCACCAAACGAAAGGTTGATT